GTTCAAATTTGCCGCGTAAGGCACCAATAAGGAAGAGAGCGTAGAAGATAAGGAAGAGAGACGGGCCCAGAATATAATTCCGCTCTAGGTATTATTATTATTATTATTTCGTGCGGTAATAGACAATAAATGTGGCGTTCGTTATTAAGAGGGAAAGTAAAAGAGGAAGTAGGAAAGAGCTTCAAATGTCGTTTCTCATATTTCAGGTGAGAAATCTGTAAATAGTGTAATATAGTACTAATGTTGTAATGTAACGATTTCAATCAATTATAAACTCATATTTCAGTGAAACACAGTGAAGTTTATTTCCCACGAACAAATATTACCCGGATCAAGAAAAATACATTATATACATACTAATAACCCAGCAAACACAACGTTACATGTAACATACATGTTAGTTGTAATTTCCTACTCAACAATATAACTGTTATATAACATACATGTTATATAATAGTTATATTAATGAGTAGGAAATTATAACATGTATGTTACATGTAACGTGATTGCTGGGAAGAAGATTATTTTAAATATAGGTAGTGGTACAACACATACATATTTGTTTTATTTGTAATTATGTAAGGAATTAAAATTTATGTGCCTATTAATATTAGGAACTATTAGTAATCGCTAATTTTATTATAGGAGAATGGAGAAACACTTGCATAGAGTGGAGCAACAGTTATACCGAATAGAGGAACACTTTCATAGACTGGAGACTGACATAAGGTATCTCATGTACATGTTATTTTATATAACACCATACAACGCGCGTATCGTGCGCGCCATTTGGCCTTTGCACAATATTATTTTGGTAATTATTTAGAATACCCCTCCTTACCTTCCATTTTTATGAAAATAAGCTTATTCGACGCGTTTTTGCATAAAATAGAAGAATCTGGCCGAAAAAAGTGTCGCTTTGTCTCGCGAAATATTTAGCGAAATATTTAGCGTTAAAATTAGTCACATTTGAAGTTAAGAAATCTGTCATATGAACGTTAAGCGAACTAGGCTTGCATTGAAATGCGTTGTAGAACGCAATTTTTTGTATAAAATAGAAGAATTTGGTCGAAAAAAGTGTCGCTGTGCCTCGCGAAGCGAGATATTTAGCGTATGCGTCAAGTAGGCAATCGTATGCGTCCGTTTGTGCTATGGGACGCACACTTTACGCATACGCTAAATATCTTGCTTCGCGAGGCAGAGCGACACTTTTCGGGCACATTCTTCTATTTTATGCAAAAAATTGCGTTTTACAACGCATTTCAGTACAAATCTAGTTCGCATAACGTTCATATGACAGATTTTTTAACCTCGAATGTGACTAACTTTGACGCTAAATATTTCGCTTGCGAGCCAGAGCGACACTTGTTTCAGCCAGATTCTTCTACTTTATGCAAAAACGCGTTGAATGAGCGCGTTTATTTATAATATTTTGTAACGGCCTTGCGTTACGTGCGGGATAGTCTTAGCCGGTGTGGTCCGGGTTTCGTGTGTGAAATGAAAACCAGTGGTATAGGTGATAATAATTTGGAACTATATTCTAATCTCAAAGCTATTTACAATTATTTACAGGTGACGTTACGCCGTTGGTGCGTGGTCGCGTTTTTGCTCTCGTCGGGAGCCGTTATTGTCGTCTCGCGATCAGCTGCGAGCGTCGAGGTGAGCGAGCGGCAGGCGGGATGTTGGTCGGAATTGTTTCCGGATACTCTATTGTTCGTCGTTCGGAGTTCGCTGTCTCATCGGCTTTAATCTGTTTATCTATCCTGATCTTTCCTTGCGGGTTTAAACGCGCTCGTTGCCACCGGTACCTTACGCCCTGTATGCGTTTGCAATCGTAGGTGTTAGCGGCGTAGCGTGAGGAGGAAAAGGATGCCGACGTCGCGTATCCACTTCGGTCGACGGAGCGAGGTACAGATAGGAAGCCGACGTCGCGTATCCACTTCGGTCGGTAGAGCGGTCTCAGGGAAAGGATGTCGACGTTGCGCATCCATTTCGGTCGACAGGGCGGTGTATGGATAGGAAACCGACGTCGCGAATCCACTTCGGTCGGTAGAGCGGTATCGGAGAGGATGTCGACGTCGCGTATCCACTTCGGTCGACAGAGCGATGTATGGACAGGAAACCTACGTCGCGAATCCACTTCGGTCGGTAGAGCGGTATCGGAGAGGATGTCGACGTCGCGTATCCACTTCGGCCGACAGAGCGGTGTATGGATAGGAAACCGACGTCGCGAATCCACTTCGGTCGGTAGAGCGGTATCGAGGAAAGGATGTCGACGTCGCGTATCCACTTCGGCCGACAGAGCGGTGTATGGATAGGAAACCGACGTCGCGAATCCACTTCGGTCGGTAGAGCGGTATCGAGGAAAGGATGTCGACGTCGCGTATCCACTTCGGCCGACAGAGCGGTGTATGGATAGGAAACCGACGTCGCGAATCCACTTCGGTCGGTAGAGCGGTATCGAGGAAAGGATGTCGACGTCGCGTATCCACTTCGGCCGACAGAGCGGTGTATGGATAGGAAACCGACGTCGCGAATCCACTTCGGTCGGTAGAGCGGTATCGAGGAAAGGATGTCGACGTCGCGTATCCACTTCGGCCGACAGAGCGGTGTATGGATAGGAAACCGACGTCGCGAATCCACTTCGGTCGGTAGAGCGGTATCGGAGAGGATGTCGACGTCGCGTATCCACTTCGGCCGACAGAGCGGTGTATGGATAGGAAACCGACGTCGCGGATCCACTTCGGTCGGTAGAGCGGTATCGGAGAGGATGTCGACGTCGCGTATCCACTTCGGTCGACGGAATGTCTAGGATCTCTAGGAATTGCGAGTTCTGGTCGGTCGTGCGCCTGAGAGGAGCTTCCCGATCAATCTCTCCCGATATCAATTTTCTGTCGGCTTTTATACAAAATTATAACAAACAGTTCGACTGTTTGTTGACATTGCGGTTGTTCCGCGCGCGGTTGTTCGGCGTTTTGTTAGTAATTGTTTTGTGACGCTTTCCGGATCGTCACAATTTTCATCAAAATGAGACGTGAGGAGGGGTCTTCTATATAATATTACCGTTATTTTTATAATCGTGCACACACAATTCACATGCACAAAGCAACCTGATATGTCACAGGCTGCGTTCCATTTAACGCTTATGAACGCATTTATCTATACCCAGTTACCAACATGTTCACAAAAGGGCACTTCAAGAACTCATGCTCTCACCGATTTTTACTGAGTAGTAAACGTAACATGAACTGTAGACATTGCACACATAGGCGCTCATAAGATTTGTTCGAGTTGCTTGTACTTTTCACACTTTAACACCTAATGCCCGTTGCACACTAATGCACCCCAAATTCAACACCCCAAATGCAACACAAATTCTAAAAAAAAAACATTCTGAGGACATTTTTAGGACGAAGGAATGTTTTCAGAATATTTTTAGGAGTTTCTTTAAAGGTGTCCAATCAGGAAAAGATATTTACAAATATATTAAAAAATAATTTTAAAAATCATTGTTAAAATGTTAAAAATAATGAGATAAGTTCACTCTTTTTCATTTTAAAAACGTTTTTTCAACGTCTGAAGAAATGTTTTGCTTGTTTTAATATTTAATAAACGTTTATATAAAATATTTTAAAAAAACATTTTCTAAATGTTAAAATAAACGTTTATTAAATATTTAAAAAAAGCAAAACATTTCTACAGACGTTGAAAAAAACGTTTTTTTTAATGAAAAAGAGTGAACTTATCTAATTATATTGAACGTTTTAAAAATGTTTTTTTCAAATGATTTTTAAATATCTTTTCCTGATTGGGTGTGAGCTATCTAAAAATGGCTAATTTTCAAAAAATTTATTTGCGTTGATTGAACTTGTTACACTTTCAGACTTAGTGCATATTAATTCTTTTGAGGTTTGAAAATGACGTCATGATTTCCGTTCGTGTTACGATTGTAAATGTAATTATGATACACTTTTCACTCTTGCTCGGGACCACGTGTAAAAAGTTTATCAGAATTGCATTTACATTTGTAAAACGAGCAGAAATCATGACGTCATTTTTAGAAACTGTAAAGTAATGTGCACTAAGTGTGAAAGTGTAAAAAGTTCAATCAACGCGAATAAATGTATTGGACATTAGCCATTTCCAGGTAGCTTACACCTTCAAAGGAATTCCTAAAAATATTCTGATGACATTCCTCCGTCCTAAAAACGTCTTCAGAACGTATTTTTCGGAGAATTTGTGTTGTTTGGAGTGCACTAGTGTGCAACGGGCATTAGGTTAAAAGTATAAGCAGCTCGAACAACCTATAAGCGTCGAATCGAACGCAACCACTGTGTGACAGCTGGAAGTGGTACGAACGTAGCCGTAACGATCAGGCAATCAGCATCGTGGAAAAGCGACTTCAAAGGTTTGTTTGCGTCGCATTCCCCAACGTGCTCCCACTCGCTTCAACGCACTCTGATTTGTTCACCTCAACACGCGGACCAATCAGAGTGCGTTGGAGCGAGTAGGAGCACGTTAGGGCATGCAACGCGAACAAACCTTAGGATTTAGAGACAACTTCGATACATTCCACATTTTCCATAGACTTCGTTCGAAATTCGATTCGATTGACACGCACTTTTTAGAAGAGGAATACAATCCATCCATTCGCTTCATCCGCTTCCTAAGAAGTGCGTGTTAACTACATCTGAAATATATCGAAGCGAGTTAAGTCTCTTTGTATAAACATTTTATATAACAGAACTATTTAATTTTTACTTACAGGAAAAGAGGAGAACAAGCGCAGATGGAGGCTGAAATGAAGTAAGTGTCATGTACTATAGACATTAATTCGTGCTAGTATAAAGACAATATTGCCGTGCTTTATCTTGTTTCTTTTCAGGAAAATGACTGGAGTAATGCAGAAAATATTGAAGTACGTGCAGGATCGACAAACTGGACCTCACAAGCTAGATGTATTACCAGTAACAAACTTCGAACAGATGCAGGCATTTGAAGAAGCGACGGAAGAACATTACACCGATGCTGTAAGTAACATAAATTATTTTTGTTGTCAAACAAAGATATATACGTATATAATATGCTGTTTGTTTTAAGTAGATTTTTTTCATTACATCGGTGGCTTTAATTTAAAGGAAGCCGTCAGCCTTTGCCTCAAAGAGGCTTTAGATGAATTTGTGGCAACGTCGTACACCTGGTTTGGTCGCGAGGAAGGACGACGACCACTTTCCAATACCCGGCTTGTTAAGGCTATATATGGTAACAAATATTTTCAGTTTTTAGAGAGAGGGAGAGAGAGCAAGCGAGTAGTTCATGTCCTTCAAAGAAATCTGTTTCTTTCGCAGATGGAGTATGCAAGAACAACAATTTTGGAAGACCGCAGCAATCAGAGTTTCAACGGCAGATGCAGGAGTCCTTGCGCGTCATGAAAGAGAGGAACCGAATGAGGATACGTAAGTATCGAAGAAATCCCGCTGGAAGGAACGAGAATTTGTGGGACGACAAGGAGCTCGAGGACATGGCCGACACAGATGCTACCAACGACATTCAACAATAACATTCAGGTAAATTGAGACTCCATGTCGTACACTTATATAATAATAATAAATTTGATTGTTGCTATAATTGTCGTAATTAACATTTTTCCCGCAGATTTCAACTTTAATTCATTATTTTCAACGTTATTTATATCTCATGACACAGCCCATCTTAGAGGTAACTGATGAGTAAGCTTACTTGTCATAAATTATATATAAAACAATAACATGTAACGAAATATTGTGTTCTTAGGTCGCTGATGTCGGGTACCATCACATATGGCGCGATGGGCAGTAGGGTTTTAGTGGGTGCGAGTCCCACACTATCCTCGGTCGCTTCCGCATCAGCGGCCGAGGATGTGCATAGGCATTTCCCCACTTAAAAAAAAAATGGCAGGCCACCCCACTTAATTCCCCACTTAAAATAGCAGGCGTTTACGGTTTGCGGCCTTACTACGGGAGAAGCGAAACAACGAGAAGCCTATTGTAGTACTTAGAATATTATTTTTTTAGTATATATTCATTACACGATTGCGAGCGTGGAGCAGGTCAAGGACCCTAACATACGCCCGCAGTCCCAGAGGGCCCTCCGAACATTAAAAGAGGAGAGGAGGATCCTCCGCGACCTGCGGTCAAAGCGAACCGCTGAAGTCTCGTCGATGGTCCTACAGGCCGTCGACGAGGTGAAAAGGGTCGCGGAGCGATCCGGTAACATGAAGAGATCCTATAAGGGAGCCCTCTGGGACGCCGCGGCAAAAATGGCCGCATGCAGCCTCGCTCTCGTTCAGAGAGCCACGATAACCGATGGCTCTGAACAGAGCGAGGCTGCTAGGAGGGAACAGGAGGCGGCCTCGGCCGAGGTGGAGCGCCTATGAGTCGAGGACGCTCTACTTCGGTTTGAGGTCGACCGCCTTAATGATGAGCTGGAGAGGGCCCGAACATCCGGCCCCTCCAGCTTACCAGCGGTGACCTCTGTCATGGAGATCGATGAGCTCGAGCCACCGAGCATGGAGGTGGATCAGCGGGCGGGTCACACTTCCCGGGACTCGTCCGCGGATCGAAAAAGGAAGAGGGCGGAAGATGGTGGGGGAGTCCCCGCTCCCCTCCCAGCCCGTCAGTAAGAAAAAAAAGAAAAAGGCGACCCGGCGCCTCCCGTCTACCTCCAGTGAGGAGGAAGTGACAGTGGGGGGAGGCGTCGGGTCCGCCCTGCCACTCCTCCCGACTCCCGAGGAAGAAGAGATCGGGAAACAATGTCGGGAGGAGGTGGCGAGATATTGCGGAGGGAACGCTACCCCAAATGGAGGCCCCTCCTCTTCGGGCAGGTGATGGTCCCGTTGAGGGGGTGGCTCGACCCCTCCCTAAGAAGAGAAGAAAAAAAAGAGGAAGGTCACTGTGGTGGTAACGGCGGGTGTGGGGGCAATCCCCGCAGCCCATCGAGCTGTTGGTGGGAGACCTCAGGGGACTGCGGGGAGAGGACTTCTCTTTCCCTCGACCAAAGACGCGCCCCCTGTGGTTGCGGGATTGAGTGGCGGGGAGCTAGAGGCCCTTGTAGTAACCCTAGTCCCCCGCCTTACGGAGGCCATGGTGGCCGTCATCCCTGGAATTACGCCCGGGGGTGGCCTGCGTGGCCCCATAATGAAAGCAAAAAGGTAGGAGGAAGGGGAGGGGAAGGGAGCCGCACAACGCGCCACGACCCCGCTCCTGTTTCCAAGTCCTCCGCGACCTCCACCCCCGCTAAGGCCAAACGGCCTGAGGTGGCGGGGGAGAGCAAGCGGAGGAAAAAGAAGAAAAAAAAGAAAAAGAGTGGCGCCGGCGATCCGTTACCCCAAGTGGGTGGGAGGGCCGCCCCTTGCGAGTGCGCCTGCTTTTGCGGAGGAGCCAGGCCCCCCCCTGAACCGGACAGTATATGTTCGATCGGTGAGGGGAGCCGACTCTCCCTCCTCCGTCACCGGGCCCGAGTGGTTGGGAGGAGGGAGAAGCAGAGAGGAGGGGGGACAAAGAGGCCCCACAAAAGCCGTGCCCCAGAAGGGTGCCGCGGCCAAGGGGGGCGATAAGAATAAAAATTCACAGGATGGGGGAGGCGGGAAAAAACCCGCCCTCCCGAAGGCTCCTCGTACCGCCGCCGTCACGGTGAGCTGGCCTACGGGCAGCTACGCCGATGTTATGCGGCAGGCAAGGAGCCATATAGATCTAGGTGAGTTGGGGATCGGGGATCTCCGGATCAGAAGGGCCGCCACAAGCGCACAGGTCCTTGAAATTTCTGGTCCCGAAGGACAGGCTAGGGCGGATGCCCTGGCCAAAAGAATGTCGGCCCTTTTCGCCGACAAGAAGGACGTGCAAATTGCGCGTCCCTCGAAGAGGGCCGACATCCGGGTCCGTGATCTGGATGACTCAATCACTGCGGAGGATGTAATCTCCGCGGTGGCGGTCGCCGGGGGTTGCGGGCCCGGAGAAATAAAGGCCGGCGCGATACGCCCGGGAGCGGACCGAATGGAGACCATTTGGATACAGTGTCCCCTTTCAGCCGCACGGAAAGTTGCGAACGGAGGACGACTCAAAGTTGGGTGGTCCTCCGTCCGTGTTGAGGCCCTGACGAAGCGCCCCCACCAGTGCTTCAAATGCCTGAAGTGGGGCCACGTCAGGGCCTTATGCTAAAGCAAGGACGACCGCAGTGGTCTTTGTTACCACTGCGGCTCGGCCGGTTACCACAGGGCCGCGGCGTGCGATGCACCGGCGACATGCCCGATGTGTCGCGACGCCGGGCGGACCTGTGGCCACAAAGTGGGAGGCCCCGCTTGCCAAATGGCAAAGCGGGGCAAGGAGGAAAATAGTGGGAGGAGAAGGCGTAAAACCTCCAATACCCCTCCCACCCCTCCCCCCGGGAAATAGAAGAAGCCCCCCCTCGAAAAACAAAGGGAGGGGCTCCATTGCCCGAGACCCTCCGACGGACACTGCTCCCACAGAAGGAGCAGAGAAAACCGCGGGGGGCCGGGAAAAGAGTTGCCTCGCGGGAGAGGGAAAACCCCAACGAGGGTCCCCCTCCCGCGACGAAGATAGGGGAGGTCCTGGAGGAGAGCGGAGTTAAGCCGTAATGGCTACCCGCCTCCTCCAGGCGAATCTCAACCGCGCTCGCGGAGCCCAGGAACTGTTTATGCAGTCCCTCCGCGAGCGCGGTTGTGGACTGGGGATCGCCTCCGAGCTTCACTCCGTCCCCGGGAGTCACCCAGCCATAATGGGTGACGTTGCGGGGCGGAGTGATAAGTGCTCGGTGGCGATCTACCATGAGGAAAGGGAAGCCTCCCCCCAATCTCCCTTGTGGTGAGGGGGGGAGGATACGTCGCGGTCGAGTGGGGGGCCCTAGATGTGGTCGGGGTTTACGCCCCACCATCGTGGGACCTCGCTCACTTCGAGTACCTTTTGGACCGGCTGGGGGACCTCATGTCGAGGCGCCCCGAAAGGCCGGTCCTGGTGGCCGGGGACCTCAATGCTAAATCGACGTTGTGGGGGTCCTCGGTCAGGTGCCGAAGGGGCGTGGTAATGGAAGAGTGGATCGCGTCTGACGGCCTCTGTGTTATTAACAGGGGCCGGAGAAGCACCTTCGTCGGGCCGCGGGAAAGATCTGTGATCGACGTCACGTTGGCGTCTCCCCAGGTAGCCCGACTAATACAGGATTAGCGGGTGGTGACCAGGGGTGAAAACCTTTCGGACCATCGATACATCGTGGTCCGATTAGTCGCCGCCCCCGAGGAGGTGCTCCTGAGGAGCGGCCAGGAGGGCGCCCGACCACCAAGATGGGTCCTCCGTAAACTCGACCGCAACAGGTTGGCGGCCGCCTTAACGGCGGCCACATGGGAGGACCCGGGCCGCTATTGAGGCAGAGGCGGTCGGGATCGTGGGCGTCATGACGGCGGCGTGTGATGCCGCCATTCCCCGATCCAGGCCGCATCCCCGCCGGTACGTGTACTGGTGGTCGGCGGAGATCGCCGAACTTCGGCGCTCCGCCGGCCAAGCCAGGCGAGAAATGGACCAGCGGGGAAGGGATAGTACGGGTGGGATGGCCGCTGAGAAGGCGTACTGTGAAAAGCGGGGCGCCCTCAAGGCGGCCATCTTTACGGCCAAGGCCCGTGCCTGGGATGACCTGGTCTCCGCCATCGACAGGGACCCATGGGGGCGCCGTTATCACATTGTGATAAGGCGTGATTTGCCTAACTGGGCGCCCCCTCCAACGGCGTCCCTGGACCCCGACTTCCTCGATGAAGTGGTGGGGGCCCTCTTTCCATGGGAAAAAGCTTATATTCTCATTTACGAGGCCCCCCCCCCCAAGACGTGGAGGATGAGTCAGTCGGAGTCACAGGTGGAGATGGACAGGGCCCTCAGGAGGCTCGGCGCCAAGAAAAGTGCGCCGGGCCCTGACGGCATCCCAGGCACAGTATGGGCCTTGGCGATGAAGGAGGCGGAGGTGAAGAGTCGCACAATGCGGCTCTTCACCTCCTGTTTGAGGACCGGGGTGTTCTCCAGCCCCTGGAAGAGGGCCAATCTGGTCCTCTTCAGAAAGGGGGGCAAGTCGGAGGACAGCCCTTTCGCTAATAGGCCGATATGCCTACTGGACGAGGCGGGCAAATTATTCGAAAGAATAATTGACCGGGACAGGTGCCGCCTCGTCCGGCACCTGTCCCGGGGTAGTCCAAAGCTCAGTGAGGATCAATACGGCTTCCGGGAGGGACGTTCGAGCGTGACGCGATTTTGCGCGTCCGATCCTTTTCGGTGGCCGTCGTGAGAAGGGGGGGGGGAGTTGTGTTGGCAGTATCCCTAGACATCGCCAACGCTTTCAACTCCCTCCCTTGGGACCAGGTAGAGGCGGGTCTGTCCCATTTCAGGGTCCCCCCTCCACCTGGTCAATTATTAGGGACTACTTCCGGGATAGAAGACTGGAGTTCCGCAACAAAGCGGAACTCCAGTGCGGAAGGGCAGTCTACTACGGTGTTCCTCAGGACCCCTCTACGGTGTACTAGGACCCTTA